ACAGATTATATACCTCTCAGAGCAATGGGTAGGAGATGTATTTTTAACTATACAAGAAATAGGGGCAATTATAAAAGATAAAATAGATAATTTTCATTACATGAAACTGAAAAGCTTCTGTACAGACAAAATTAACGCACCTAGGATAAGAAGGGAAGGGATAGAATGGGAAAAAAAAATCTTTGTATCAAATTTCTCTGGCAAGGGTTTAGTAGCCAAGATATGTGTAAGCAATATTTATATGTATATATATATAAAATGGTGTATGTATGCTATATATATATGTATATATGTATGTATACATACATGTATATATATGTATATATAATGACTAATAGCCATTCCCTAATAGCTAAGTGGTTACAGGATATGAACAAAGTTCTCAAAAGAAGAATTGCAAAGTGGGGCAGCTAGATGCTGCAGTGGATAGAACACTGGCCCTGGATTCAGGAAGACCTGAGTTCAAATTTGGCCTCAGACACTTGATACTTACTAGCTGTGTGACCCTGAGCAAGTCACTTCACCCCATTGCCTTGAGGAGGGCCGGGAAAGAAAGAAGAAGAATTGCAAAGTACTCACAGTCACATGAAAGACTCCTCTACATCACTAATAATAAAAGAAATGCAAACAAAACCATGAGGTTTTATCTCACATCCCACACAGTGGCAAAAATGACAAAAAAAGTCAATAGTCAATATTAGAAGGATTGTAAAATGATAGACACACTAATACATTGTTGGTAGAGGAGTGAAATGATACAACCATTTTTGGAAGGCAATTTGAAATCATGCAAATAAAATATTCATACCCTTTGAACCAGAGACTCCATTATTGGGCTTATATGCCAAAGAAGTTATTGATAAGAAGAAAATCTCTGTATATACCAAAATATTTACAGCAGCACTTTTTTTAATAGCAAAGAATTGGAAACAAAACAGATGCTCATTGTTATAAGATTGGACCTGGTGGTCTTAACATTGTCATGATCTCCTTAAGGGAGGCTCTAGCTTATAGAATCAATGAATAGAAACCAATTTTATAAGATTGGGCCTGATGGATTTGAGGCCATTGTGACAGTATCCAGTTAAGGAGGCTGTAAGCTTATAGAATGTACTCATGGAAAAATACTGACAATAATATTTTTTGAAGGTTAGTACAACTGTGTCCCCCAAATAATAGTTTGTCTACCACCAGCTTGTTTTTTTCTCACTGATAACAAACCCCTCAAATAATATTTTGTCCTGTCCTCTGACATACAAATTGGCCAGCTCCAGGGAGACCACCCAGAATCAGAGTATAAGAACCCCACTGTCAGAAGGGCACTTTTGAGCACATCCTTCCTTCCAGCAGGAGCACACTTTCCTGTTGTAGTACCCCTTTTCTGTTGAATCGATGTCTCTCTCTGCATTCCCTAAAGCAGTGCTGCCTTTATGTAAGTTATATTCTGTTAGTATATATGCCTGATTTGTATGTAAAGTCTCCTTTTCTCTCTCCTCTTTCCCCTCTTCCCCATTGTTCATAATAAAGCTTTTCACTGAACTGATTCCCATTGTTTTACATGTTATTCTCAGCACCCAAGATCATTAAGGGGTTATTTTCCCCAGGTTTCTGGCTGGCCCCAAGGCTTTTCATTAGACATAAACTAGGTACCCAGACAAGAACTTAACCTATTGACAACTGCACCTACACTGGGGGAGTATGGCACTATGAGCCCAGTTGTAGAAAGCAAGGGCCTTCCGTCTGCTAATTATTTCCTATTTTCCATATATACAGCTTGTTTGTACTTAGCTGTTTGCATGTTGTCTCTCCCATGAGATTGTGAGCTCCTTGAGGGCAGGAACTGTCTTCTGCCTCTTTTTGTATTCCCACTGCTTAGCACAGAGCCGGGCACATAGTGGATGCTTAATAATTAATTGAGATCCTGGCTCATTGGTATGGGTAACTAGTCTCTGCCTTTTTCTCCCTTGAAATTCCTTGGATATGCTTTGTATTTACTTATGTACAAGTTTTATTTCCACCATAAAATTGATGTCCTAGATGGATGGTTTCCTTTTATGCCTCTTACTTCCCTCTCCATAGCCTTGTACACAGAAGGCATGTAATAAGATCATAAGGTTCTAGATGTGGAAGTGGAATAGACTTCAGAGGCCATGCAGTCCAACTCCCTCGTTTTGTAAATGAGGAAACTGAGGCTCAGGGAGGCCAAGTTTGTTAAATCAAAATTCAGACAGGGAGACCGCTTGTGGAAAGTTACCCAAAGTAGGAGATGGAATAACGTTTATAAGGAAGAGGCCGATTTGACCGGATTCAAGAGCATGGAATTTAGGAAGAAAAGCGGTCAAGTGGCATGGAATGAAGAAAGCAACTATGTCAGAGCGGGCTTGAAGTGCCAAGCCGTGAGTTTTGTATTTCCTCTTAGAAGCAACTGGGGCCACTGAAGATTTTTAAGTGAGGAAGTGGTGCTTTGATCTGCATTTTAGGAATATCATTTTGGCATTTGTTGGAGGGGAGACTGGGGATTGAAGACACCAAAGGTAGGGAGATCAATTAGGAGGCTATTGGAGGGGTATTTTGGGGAAAAGGTAGGGATTCTGTGGACAGAGTGGAGGATGGATAAACATCACGGGCATAGACACCTGCTTGCTCCTGAGAAAGAGTAGTCTGGGGTAGCTATATCTCAGCACACGGTGGTGGGGGTGGGGTCTGTGTGGGTGGGAGAGTAGTATTAGAAGAGGGTGCAAGGGAGGGCCACATTATGTGAGGTTTATAACATGCTTTATGCTTTAACAGAGGATAGGCCCCCATGGCTGCAGCACAGATAAGGCTGGATGAGGGTGGGGCTCAGCCATATTCAGCAGCCACGCTCTCTGGTCCTGAGATTTCTGTTTTTCTCCTTCAGAGCCCAAGCTCCAAAAGCAAGCTCTGGCATCATCAACTCTCCCTTATTTCCCAGCCCTGGGGGCTAGTTTTCCAGCTCCTTGGTTCAGTCTGCAACCTTCCCATCCCCCCTTCTCTTCCCACATTCCTCCCTCCCCACCTCTGAGCTAGCGTGGGGGGCTCCGGCTGTGCTCCTCCCTCTCTCCTCCATCCCCCAAGCTCTGGCTTCCCTCCTTTCCCCTCCTGCTCCCCCCCTTCCCTACCTCCCCGCAAGCCCTAGGTGCTGTCTTCGGCTGGCTCAGCACCCTATCCTAGGCTCCTCTGTCCCGACCGTCCTTGGAGCCTAGGACTTCTGGAGATGAGTTTTCCTTCCGCTGCGCTGCACTGCTTGGCTCTCGCCTAGATACTGCATGTTTTAGTTTCATGTAGGTGGCTCTTGCCTTGCCTGCCTCACATTTTAAGCTATTTTTCCACTTGATATTCTAGCCTTCCTTGCCCTTCAGGTCTTCCATGGAGGCACTCCCTCCTGCCACTCACCACCCCATCGTTCTTTATCCTATTCCATTCTTGGCCTATCTTTGCACAAATGCTACAGGGCATCTCCCCAACTTGGTAGAGGCCTTCCTCCATTTTTCTTGTGATCATATTTTGTGATCACTAGTGGGACCCTCCTGTCCCTTTGATATTTTCCCCCAGCTTCACCCCTTTCTCTGATCGTATATGCCCTTGATAGTTCAGAGCCACTTCTCGGGGCCAGTTGGTGTTGGTAACGTGAAGTGGCTTGCTTACCTAGCTCTTTCCTTGCTCTTCGGCTTGACATCTTGACATTCGACTTGGATCTCAGGTCCAACACTTACTAAGCTATATGACTGGGCATGTTAACAAAGTCTCAATTTCCTCACCTGTACAATGAGGATAGTAAGCTCTTACTATTGTTTAAGGTGTAAGCTTCAAAACTCTTTAAATGTCAATTACACTGATTATTTCAGTCTCTTTTTCTCTCATTTTTCACCTTGTTATTACTGTTTAACCACTTCTTTCAGGAGGTGTGCAGAGAAAAATGGAGGCACTGCTGAAGGTTTTGGAACTAGACTAGAAACAGAAACCTAGTGAGAAGTCTTATAGAGGGCTTCTACAGCAGAGTCTATGCCTGATGATGGGAAGGATCGGATATAATTATCAAAGGGCAATAATCATAATAGCTAGCTCTTTAAATTTATATAGCCCTTCAAGGTTTGCAAAGCTGTATACATGTATTATCTCATTTGATCCTCACAACAATCCTGAGGATTGGGTGCCTCATTTTACAGATGAAGAAACTGAGACAGAGGGTTCTTTGATCTCCCCAGTCAGTGTCTGAGGCATTTCAACTCAGGTCTTCTTGCCTCTAAGGCTGGCACTCTACCCACCATCCCATTCAAGTTGCACAGTTACTAGTAAAACCAGATCTAGAACAAATGAAGAAGAATCTAAAAAAAGTTTCAGTACCACTAAAATAAGAGCAATGTGTTCAGTGTGTGGAAAATAAAAGCAACCTCATTGCATGCTCCCTCTTCCTTTCCCCCTCCCCAATTTAAACCTAAAGGCCAAAGAAATCTTGGTCAAAGGGTAGCAGGAATAACTGAATAATCAGTTATTATTTCAGCCTTTTCAGCCAATAGCTCTATTCTTTTCACCCGAGTAAACCTTTTCCCAGGATTGTAAAGGGGATGGTGTTTGTCTTCCCTTGTTAGATTGTCAACTCCTTGTATCTCTGGTGCTTAGCACAGGACTCTGGCACATAGCAGGTATTTAATAAATGTTTATTGACTGACTGACCAGATTTATAATAGGGAAAGTCACTTAATTTCAGTTACCTCATCTGTAAAATGAGAGTGCTCAACTAAATGGCTTCTAAGATCTCTTTCAGCTCTATAATGATGATTCTCAATATTACTGGAAAACATATAGTATAGTCTGGCAGAAGAGATATTGAAGGAGAGGTAAGGAACTGAGGAGAGGAACTAGAAAACAAGACGTGTAGATTGAGAAAGTAATGCCTCCCTTGAGCCTTCTCAATATCTTCTAACAATAGCGACAGATGTCTAATTGGTAGGATTCTTCGTAATAAAGCTCTCACAATATATAGTACTTTAAAAAGTTTATAGAATAACCTATGTGGTAAGTAGAAGAAGTATTGTTATCTCCATTTACAGATAAAGAAAGGGAAGTTGCAATGTAAGTGGCTTCTTTCCCTAAGGCCACAGGAGGCAATCCCAGGAGAGCCAGGGGTGAGGAGCTCCCTTCAGGCAGCAAGGGTTTCAGGCCCTGGCAAGGCAGGTTTAATGAATATTTGCTGACTCTGATTGACTTGAACTCAGGTCTCTGTTGATTCTGGGACCCTTTATACTAGGCTATGCTCCCATTTATGCCATTTTTAAAAAGTTGTGACCTGCCCTTGAATTCCAGCAAATATCAAAAATATCCAATATCACACTGTGAAACCCCAGGAGCTGAGAAACCCTGAGGGAGAGGAAGAAGGATGCAGCACAGAACCTGGCAAGATACTGAGAGAACTCCCTCAGGCAGGTGAGGGGAATCAAGAGTGATGCAATTTTCTCACTACATTTCATCCCATTAGAGTAGATGGAAAAGTCCTCTTTCCTATTCATTTAATAAAATATTACTTTGAGACTCATAGTAGGCTTTAAATACTTGATTGATCAATTGGTATAGGACTCTGCTTTTTAAAAATATTATTTAGTTCAGGCTGATTAAAAAATTCCCTGAGAAATGTAATAGCACAGTGGGTACATCTCATCAAAGACACCCTGGTGTGACCGGTCCCAAGCCTCTCAGTGTTCAATCTGGTTAGTGAAAGCAATGGCTTTCAAGGCTCTTCAGCTTGGCCTCAGCATTAAGAGTAAATTCCTTGGAGGCTTTCTGCAGGGGCAGCCGAGGTGGACCCATTTGGATTCCAGAGACAAGAGTTATGATAGTTTTTGTCTGTGCGACTCCCAGACCTAGGCAAGGAAGGAAAGCAAGCATGATTAATTCCATCATTCTCTATAGAATGTTTTGATGTCGGTTGAGGCAACACCTGGAGTATCATGTTCATTGGATCACGGAGTTAGAGGTGAAAGAGACCTCAAACCATTTAACTTTGCAGATAGGGAAACTGAAGTGCAGAGCATTAAATGACTTGTCTAATGTCACACAGGTGGAATAAGTGACAGAGGAGGGATTTGAATCCAGGTCTTTACAACTTAAACTTAGGCTCTTTTCACTCTTCACCTATTAAGCAGCACACTTGAAGAAGAATACAATGGAAAGCACCCAGTGGACAGAAGACACTGGATACCGTGGCACGTGATTAGCTGAAGGACCCGGAGAAGAGAAGCCGTGGGGGGCATGGCAGCTGTTCTCAAGCATGTGAAGGACTATGATTTGGCTGAGGGACCAGATGACCTCGGAGCTCACTCAATTCTAAGATTCTGTGATTTTAAAGATCATCCTATCATATGTTCAGAGTCAGAATGTCGAGTGGGAGCAGGAGGATAGAAAAAGTAGGTAGTTGCCTTACCAACAAGAAAGGGCGGTTTGAAGAATGTTTTAAATATACATTTTAGATAAATGCACAATTTGTAAATGTTGAGGAAATTCTGCTCTTCACCAAGGAAATATCCTTACTGTTTAAGGAGCACATGTCATAATGAAGATTCAGAGGCCCTAAGGCCTATTCTGATCCTCATCAGTTGCTATTGTCTTCCTCTCAGGAAGTTACTTTATGCACATTTCATCTTTTTATTTACTTTGTGGTGTACACAGTGTTTCTTTCAAACAGAATGCAGGCTTCTTGAGGGGAAAACTTTCATTTTTTAATCATTGTATTTCTGGTACCTAACACAGTGTGTGGCACATAGCAGGTGCTAAATAAAAGCTTACTGAACGAAAGAATGAGAGACTCTGTACATTTTCAAATTCTTGGTAGTGTGCACGGAAGCTTCATCCCAGCTCTGCTTATAGGGGCTCTTTGGGAAGTGAGTGGTGAGAGGGTAGAGAACTGACAAAGAGGGCAGGGTAACTCATGGCATGCTGACAATGGCCCCAGGATGAATGCCATGGAATAACTTTGAGCACACAGAGGGCAGCATGAAGGTGGTAGACATCTCCAAGGTGAGGACACAAGGATTCAATTATCTCTTGGAGATAATAACTTAACCTCTCTCTTGATCTCTAGTCCAACTACCTAATGGAAATCTTGAATTGGATGTGCCATAGATATCATAAACTCTTCTCTTCCCAACAACTTTCCTGTTACTGTCAAGGGTACCACCATTCTTCCAATCATGGAAGTTAACCCTGGTGTCATCCTCAATGCTTTACTTCCTCTCACCCCTCAATATCCAATTAATTTCCAAATCCTGTCAATTCTGCCTTCACAGCCTTTATGCTCTCTTTTCTCTTTTGACACTGCCACCATGCTGAAGCAGGCTCTCATCACCTTATGCCTAGACTATGGCAATAACCTGCTGGTTAGTTTCCCTACATCAAGCCTCTCCCCACGCCAATCTATCCTCCATTCAGCCATAAAGCCTAGGTCTCACCATGTATCCCCACCTCTCCCAATTTAATAAACTCCAGCAGCTCCCTATTACCTTTATAAGAAGACTTTCCTCATCCCCCTCAATGCTAGTGCTCTCCCTCTGTTGATTAGCTCTAGTTTATCCTGTATATATCTTATTTGCACATGGTTGTTTACCCCCATAAGACTATGAGCTCCTTGAAAGCTGGGATATATTTTTTCCCTTTCTTTCTATTCCCAGAGCTTACAGTACTTGGCATATAGTAGATACTTAATAAGCACTCATTGACTTGACAGAGCTGTGAGAGTACAGAGAGGAGCACCAGAGGACTGACTATAACTATTTCCACTTCAAAATTTACCTATAGCTAGTCTTGGGAGTTGTCTTGAGCAGAACAATAATAGGAGGGAAATTCAATGCTTAGTGTTTTACAAACTTCTCAAAAGTCAGGGATGTTATTTTCTATTTCTCTGCCTTTGTAATGTAATACAGGAAATGGAAGAGAGATGTTGTACTTACCCAGTTTGATGACATAGTTCATAAATCTCTGGATGTACAACTAGAAAAAGTATAAAAAACCTATAATTAGTATTAGCAGTGGATGTTAGCTGCCTACAGAAGAAACGTTATCACATTGTTAGCATCCAAAGATTAGAAATTGTACTTGTCTTTACTTTTGAAAGTTAAAGTGAAGAAAAAGAGACTGAGGGAATGGAATGACGAGAGTAGGGTAGAGAGAAAGCTGCCTGCAGAGCCCATAATCACATATATATATATATATATATATATATACACACACATACATATATACACACACATATATGTATATATGTATATATATGTATGTATGTATATATAGTGTTTTTATATTTATATACATAAATATGACTACTATGTAAATAAAAATAAAGCACTTTAAGGTCTGCAAAGTATTTTACAAGTATTATTTCATTTTATCCTCATAACAACGCTGTAAAGTAGGTGCTAATATTATCCTTGTTTTTATAGATGAAGAAATTGAGGCAGATAGAGCTTAAGTGACTTGTCCAGGGTCATATAGCCAGGGGATGTCTGAGGTTGGACTTGAACTTAGGTCCTCTTGATTTCAGCCCCAGTGTTCTATCCACTGGGCCACCTAGCTGCCCCATAATAACTAAATAGTTGATAATTAAAATATTTGGTTATATAGGAGGCATAGTAAAGTTAGAAAACCATGAGGAAAGTGCTGCCAGTGCCTGCAGATGGTGGCTGAATGGCTGTAGCCGACAGCTAGAGTGGTGTAGCTGCCAGATCAGAGCACACAAAATTCTTTTACCAAAAGTACTTTGATACTATGACAGTAACATCATCAGTCCATAGACAGCCTCCCATCCCAGTGGAAAGTCTCCTGAGCTGCTGTGGCAAAAGTGCTTTCTGAAGCTCTCAGGAGTCCTATGAGGAAAGCTACCTTACAGTATAGAGGAGGTGAGCATTCAGAGAAGCCACATGGCTTACCCGTGCTCTCACTGACAGTGAGTGGACAATCTTCTGGCCATGGGCCTCTGACCACTTGGCTAGGCTAGAGTCCTGTACTTAGAGACTCCAACTGCCATTACTGGGCCTCCATGTCAAAAGAAGGCATCAAAGTAAGCCTTCAGTGAATGAACTAAAGATATGCTTTAGAAAATGAGGATTAAGACACTAAAGATGCCACCCTTAGCCTTTGCACATTATACACAGATCTTGCAGAAATCTGTTTTGCCTCTCCTGAAGGTCTCCATGGCTTTGGGATTCTAAAAGTTCTTTCTTTCCTGTTTCTTTGTCCTCTTTAATTTACATAAAGTACTCCACTAGCTTGAGGTTAGGGCTCTTTCTACCTTTCAGGGAAATAAATTTTCTCTACCTAAGCCTGTAGTCTAGCACCTGGACTTGGTTTCTTAGCGGCCATTTAGTCTAAGTTCTTAGTTAGATTGGCTCGGGTTACTAGCTCTGTGTATTTCCCCCAGGTCCTCTTTTACAATTCATCAAATAAACGTCCCTAAGGCAGTGATTTTCTAAGGCCCTGTAATTACTGTTTTACAAAATAAAAAATATTTTACAATATATAGTGAAAAACAAAAGACAATGACTTCCACCAAGAAAAGTTGACTGTTGTTTCCTCAAAGGGGTCTAGTTAGACCTGCAGAAGACACACTGGTTTTGAGGTTTTCAGTTTTATGTAAGACCAGGGAAGAAAGAAAAGATAAACAGAAATCTTTGGAGGTGGGCCAATTCTGCCATTAAGAAAAGAGTAAGTTGAATAGGGAGATAGGAAAGGAAACAGAAAACTGAAAGGGCTAACTAGCACAGGGCTAATGGAAGAGCTTGGATGTGAGGAAGAAATAAAGTCACATTTTATGTCAACAGGAGACAATGCCATACCTGGTAATTCAAAGCTAAGGAAAGGTCCTGGCGCTCAAAAGCTTCCAACATCTGGTTTGTTTTTTTGCCCAGGTAGTTGTAGGTGCTGTCAAGTAAATAAGAAGTACTAATGATTCATTCAGTAACTACAATGAAAAGATGCACCTCTGTTGTTTACAATATCCATTCCACACCTATCTACATAGCTCTGTGACTGTACACACACACACACACACCCCCACACCCACACCCACACCCACCCCCACCCAGGCTACCCAAAAGGGGAAGTTTTATCTTTATTTATTTATTTATTTATTTTTCTATTTTTCTTTTTTTGTTTTATGCAATTGGGGTTAACAGACTTGCCCAGGGTCACACAGCTAGTATGTGACAAATGTTTGGTCTGAGGCCGGATTTGAACTCAGGTCCTCCTGACTTCAGGGCTGGTGCTCCATATACTGCGCCACCTAGCTGCCCCAGGAAGTTTTATCTTTAGAAGCTGTTTTCCTGGGGTTAGCAATTTCTTTAGTTTTCAGTGCCAGCAACAGGGCTAAGAGATACCACAGCGGAGGAAGAGAAAAAGAAAAAGAGAAAGCAAAAAGAGAGAATGGAAAAACCTCAGAAGAGGAAGAGAAGATGGAGTGATAGAGAAGGAAAGAGGTTGGAGGGAGTTGAGGGTTATATAGTGGGACATGATGAGGTGCCATCAATAACTGCCTAGGGTGTCACATAGTGCAAAAGATACAGCATTTACCTGCCAACTGCTCCAGTCGCTCCCATGGCCAGGGCACTCAGCAGTTGCTATTCAGAAAAAAAGGAAAAGCACTTACTTCTATGTAATGACCCTGACAACATCCCTCCTTCACCCTACCCTGACCAAGCAGAATGCCGTGGGAAGCCTGTGAAGCTTGTTTTGGACCTGGGGCTCCTGATGTAGAGGGAGAACAATTACCTCATCCACCCCAAAAAGGAGATCGAATTGCCGTTGGCTGTTCTGATCCACACATTGTCCAAAGTCTAAGAGATCTACATCGCTGAACTTCAGTCCTTGAAAGGTGGGGATTTCATCCTGAATCCCATCCAGCAGCTCTTCAGCACGAACTATTCAGAACAAGGATTGCTCATTAACCCACATCCTTCTAAGTGATGCAAAATCCTTCTATAAAGTCCCATATATCCCCGGCTCTGTTGTCTGGATCCCTCTCTCTTATTGTCAAAGATTAGGGCTGCTCTATTCAGAGTCAGTTGAGAAACCACCGAAACAAGGTCCTGCGGTATTTCCATGTAGAAACAATTTTATAACAGGTATAGTAGTAACAGGCAAAGGAAGAAGCCACGTGCAGGTTCTTTGGATCTAGAAAGACATTCCCAATTCTTCCTCCTGATACCAACATGACCAACATAGTTTTGTTGAACTGTTATTTTTCAGCTTAGGTGGTTAGAAATTGATAGGGTTCTTTCCTGTCCTTAAATATACAATCCAGTGGAAATATTTTCCAATAATGGCAATAGAGAGAGTTGAACAGCCAGCAGTGGCTACAGAAGAGTAACCTTTTACCGTACTTTGGACTTCCCTTTCTAATGTCCAGGGGGCCAGCCTGGTGTTCTGCTAAGTGAGCACCCTGGCCTTCTCTGGAGAAACATGTCCTTTGACCTCTTAATAAAGCGCTCACTCAACCTGAGGCTTCTTGTTGGCCCCCATGCGCATTACCCCTTGCCCATGAGGGGAGCTGCAATATAGAGGCAACAAAAATAACCTACTCAGAAAACTTTAAAGGAAGCAATAACTTCTGACCTCACTCTTTTCTTCCGAAAATGTGATTTGGGACCTTCACAGTTCTACCCTCACAGAAGCTATTCCCCATAGCTACTACTCTACTTCTCAAAGGAGAGGGTGACCACTGACAGGAAGATGAGCTTAGTCCATTTCTGGCCTTATCAAAATAGACAGAGCAGAACTCAGGCGAAGGTAAAATGCCTGTTCAGCACTTTACAAAGTGGTTCATGTTCGGATGTTTTAAATATTAACCTCTTGGAAGAGCATAGCAGGAGTTATGGGTTATTCTTTCATGTTTTAAATACTTGTTAATATGCACTTGAGTCTGGTCTTTTGTGTTTTAAGCATTTCTTTTGTAGCAAAAGGAACTAGCTGTCCTGTTCTACTTCTTCAAAATTTAATTAAAATTTTTTGGTTACATTTTAAGTTCCAAACTGTCTCCTTCCCTCCCTGTCCTCCACTCCCCACCCCCCACTTCCCAGTAGAGAAGGGCACCATTTGACACAGATATATAAATATATGTAAATCCATACTATGCATACTTCTATTTATTAGTTTTTTCTCTGGAAGTGGATAGCATCTTCCTGTATGGGTGCTTTATAGTTAATTTGAGTATTTATAATACTCAGAATAACTTGACTGTTCATAGTTGTTCTTCAAACACTATTGCAGTTACTGTGTACAACATTCTTGGGATTCTACTCATTTCACTCTTCATCACTTCATACTAGTCTTTCCACAGAAGAATTCCATCACAATCATATACCACAACTTGTTAAGCCACTCTCCAACTGATGGGCATCTCCTCAGTTTCCAGTTCTTTGCCATCACAAACAGAACTGCTACAAATATCTTAGAACATATTGGTTATTTTTGTTTTTCCTTGATCTCCTTGGGAAACAGACCTAAGAGTATCATTGCTGGGTCAAAGGGTATACGTGGTTTCATAACTCTTTGGGAATAGCTCCAGATTGCTCTCCAAAATAGCTGGATCAGTTCACAGTTCCACCAATAGTGTATCAGTGTCCCTATTTTCCCCACCCTCTCCAACATTTGTCATTTTCCACTTCTATCACTTTAGCTAATCTGATAGGTATGAGATATCTCAAAGTTGCTTGAGTTTGCATCTCTAATCAATAATGAGCTAGAGTATTTTTTCATATGACTATATATAGCTTTGACTTCTTCATCGAAAAACTGCCTGTTCATATGTTTTGACCATTTATCAACTGGTGAATGATTTGTATTCTTATGAATTTGACAAAGTTTTCTATATATTGGTCCACACTTAATTTCTGCCAGAATGCTTTCCAGTTTTCCCAACAGTTTTTTTTAACCAAATAGTGAATTCTTATTCCCAAAGCTTAAATCTTTATATCGGTCAAGCACAAGGTTACTATGATCATTTACAATATTGTATATTGTATGTCTACTCTGTTCCACTGATCCACCTTTCTGTTTCTTAGCCAGTACCAGATTGTTTTGATAATTACTGCCTTGTAATATAGCTTAAGATCTGGTACTGCTAAACCTCCTTTCTTTACATTTTTTTTCATCAACTCCTTGACCTTTTGTCCTTCCAAATGAATTTTTTTTGGGGGGCTAGGCAATGGGGTTAAGTGACTTGCCCAGGGTCACACAGCTAGTAAGTGTCAAGTGTCTGAGGCCAGATATGAACTCAGGTGCTCCTGACACCAGGGCTGGTGCTCTATCCACTGAGCCACCTAGCTGCCCCCTAAATGAATTCTGTTATTATTTTTTTCTAGCTCAATAAAACAATCTTCTGGTAATTTAATTGAGATGGCATTGAATAAGTAGATTAGTTTAGGCAGAATTGTCCTTTTTATTATACTAGCTCTGCCACTCATGAATAATTAATATTTCTCCAATCATTTAAATCTGACTTATTTGTATAAAAAGTATTTTATAATTATGTTCAGATAATTACTCAGTTTGTCTTGGCAGGTATACTCCCAGGTGTTTTATACTGTCTACAGCTATTTTAAATGGAGTATCTCTTACTATTTCTTATTGCAGGGTTTTTTTTGGTGATATGTAGAAATGCTGATGATTTATGTGGGTTTATTTTATATCCTTCTCCTTTGCTAAAATTATTAATTATTTCAACTAACTTTTTAGTTGATTCTCTAGGATCTTCCAAGTATATCATTATATTATCTGCAAAAAGAGATAGTTTTATTGCTTCATTGCTCATTCTGATTCCTTCAATTTTTTTCTTTCTTTATTGCTATTGTAGCATTTCCAGTAAAATACTGGATAATATTGGTGACAGTGGGCATCCTTGTTTCACTAATGATCTTATTGGAAAGGCTTCTAGCTTATCCCTATTACAAATAATGCTTGTTGATGGTTTTTGGAAGATTTTCTTATCATTTTAAGGAAAAATCCATTTATATCTAATTTTCAAGTGTTTTTTAATAGGAATGAGTGTTGAATTTTGCCAAAAGCTTTTTCTGCATCTCGATATAATCATATGATTTTTGTTACCTTTGTTATTAATGTAGTCAATTACGTTAATAATTTTCCTTATGTTAAACTATACCTGCATTCCTGGTATCCTGACCTTTGTACATTGAGTGTATTTCTAGAAGGAGCTCTGTTAATTCTTTTTGGAGAGACCTTGGACATGAGCCAAACCTAAGCTTTGTTTAAGAGACTGTGTCCAAGGGTGAACTGTGGGGTGGAGGCATAATGAGCCAGGAATAAGGAGGAAAAAGCCTGACCCCCTTTTTTTAGAGGCCAGGCTTCCTCCAAACTGAACCTGATCCGTGATAGTTCAAAGCTGAGATCTCTTAGTGGGAGAAGACATCCAGACCCTTGTCAGTGGGTCATTACAGTAAGAAAAAATGATTAATGGTGGAGAAAGTGAGGGATAGGAGAAGAGAAACAAGACAAGAAGCACTCACTTTTTACTCCGGTCAAAGCAGGAATATGATAGTAATAAAACGGCACCTCAGGGGCAGCAGCAGCCACTTCTTTTAAAAATGCAATCAGGGCATCTGAAAGCAACAGCGATAAAGCAAACTTAAATAATCATAAGCCTTAATGTCAATGAAACCGTTGAAAGGCTGAGGAACACTGGCTAATTGTAATGACCAAAATTGTTTTAGGAGAACAGTAGGAGAGAAAATACTTCCTTCTTTTCTTTCTTTCTTTTTTTTTTTGGTTAGGCAATGGGGTTAAGTGACTTGCCCGGGGTCACACAGCTAGTAGGTGTTATGTGTCTGAGGCTAGATTTGAACTCAGTTCCTCCTGAATCCAGAGCCTATGCTCTATCCACTGCACCACCTACCTGCCCCATTCCTTCTTTTCAATAGAGAGGCAAGGGACTACGGATGTTGAATGTTATATACTGTCATTTGAAGTTGCTAGGTTGGCAGGGTTTGCCTAATTTTAAAAAAAAAGTCTATTTCAAATTTAACATTTTAATTTCAACACTGCCCACTCAACTGTATAAGGGGGAGATTCAGAGAGGGAGAGGCATGTCAGAAAATCATGTATGTGAGTACAAAAGACACAAATAAAACTATATATGTGTAAAACATACATACCCAGGTCTATGTACACATATGTGTGTATATATATATATATATATATATATTTATGTGTGTGTACATAGAAATCTATCTATCTATCCCACCTATGTGAACAAAGAAACAAGTGTAATGTTCACCAAAGTCTTCCTAGGTGTTTCATTAAGTCTTGAAGATGACGCTGGGTCATCAGAAACTATGCCAGTAGAGTATTAGTTTTGGCAGATCCCAATAAGCTACAGTCTTGGACACAGGTTTCTGAAGACTTCTGTCTCTGTCCCCTGAGGATCACAGGTAATCAGAGCTGGAAGAGACTATAGAGGGCACTCAGCCCAACCTCCTCATTTATAAATGAGGAAACAGAGCCAGAGAGGTTAAGTGACTTGCTTGAGCTCATGTAAGTATTAAACGGCAGAGCCTTTCCCGCTCTTCTACCCACTGTGATTCCTCAATACTTGTTGGGTTAGATTGTCCGAGTTTGGGGAAACTTCTTACTAAAGGACTGGCCACTAGGTTACGGATATTTTGGACCATAGCAAATCATGGAGAATCACCTAAGGAACAATAAGGTCCTGGTCTATGTCGTTAGTGCCACTGCTCACAAATTTTCTGGAAGATTTAAGAAATAAAAAGAAGAGTAAGCCCTCCGAGGCAGGGCAGAGAGAAATCCACTAACAATGGTTTCATCGAGTTCTGAAGCAGAAACTTTGGGGCTGCTTCCTCATCGTCACTTTAAGGTCCCATGTCTCTTTTTATAGCATATAACATAACAACATTCCCATTGCCCTGGGCTGCTGGAAAGAGCTGTTGCCGGCCTCAGGACATTTTAGGACACATCCTCTGGCATGTTTTGTAAACCCATTTTGAGAAACCCATTTGGTGGGCCCTGCCTACAGCAGAATGAGACCAAGGATTGGTGACAGAAAAAGACTTGAATTAATACAGTTTCAACTGCCACCTCTGTCCTGATCTAAATCTAAATCTCTAAATCTGCCTCTAAATCTACATCTCTAGTCTAGATTTCTCTGTTGTGTTACCAACATGAAACTCTAACGGTCTATGTGACAACTCTAACTAAACATGTCTCATTTTTCTTTCCCCTCTAAGAAACATTAAGCACCAAGACCTCCGTTGTACTATAAAAATTGAGAATTAATAGTACGATAGTGTCCCCGTCTAAAGTCCTAGCTTCTGTTGAGTAAAGACCTAATCAGGAGCGTGCTTAATGACCCAGAGAAAGCAGCACCAGTGGCTAGATCGTCAGGGGACATTTATGGTGGCGTAAGAGTGGGAATATCTTTTTGTTAAACTCCAAAACAGAGAGGTTTCTCTTTTGTTAACCACTGACCAGGCTACAAGAGGGAGGGAGTTCGCAGTTTACTAAATTCATCCTCTTGAAGGGTGTGGGTGTCTAAAGTAGCATGGACTTCTTTGTTTAGCAATTCTAAAAGGCCTAAGTAAAACGATGCACTTTTGTTTTATACGTGCTGTGCAATCTGGTCTTTGGTTTCACAATTACTATGAAATGTGAGTTGGGAATGTCTTGTCTAATTTAATAGAAAGACTTTGGACAGTCAGAACCCTAGAGTTCAAAGGTCTGGAACTGGGAAGGAGCTTGGAGGCCTTTTGGTCTGACCTTCTCATTCTACAGTTGAGGAAACCGCTAAGGGAGGTGATATTAGTGAAGAACTAGCAAAGGAAGCTGAGGAGCAGATAGGCATGTAGGAGAAGAACTAGGAGAGAGTACTCTTATGAAAACTCAGAGATGAAAGAGGGAGAAGATGGTCAACGGTGTCCGCTGTGGAGAGATCAGGAAGGAAGACTGAGGCTGAGAGGTTACCAGACTTGTCCAAGGTGACACAGTCAAAGTCAGACTGTATCAAAGTCAGGAAACCTCCCTCCAAATAGACATTCATACATTTAATAGTGTGTCTTTCACAGATTTGGGTAAAATTCAAGAGTAAAGTTATTTCACAGCCCATGCTTAGCCATTTGACTTCATTTCTCTCTGGGGCACCATTTTCCTCTCATGTTTGTTACCTTGGGATTATCTGAGAAAACTGAAGCCATTCGCTGTAAGTTGCTGCTTCTCTCCTTCTCTTTACCTCAAAACCCCTTGAGAAGAACCCTCACTCTCTCCTTTCCCTCAGTACCTATTAATAATTCAGTGGTCCTTGTGCTTGCCAAGACAAAGCTCTCTTCGTATGTCCTCGACCCTGTCCTTCCCATCTTCTCCAGCATCCTTCACCATCCTCTCCTTCTAACCTTCAATCTCTCCCTAACTACTGGTTTCTTTCCTTCTGCCTTCAAACATGCCGAAGTCTTCCCTATCCTGAAAAAAAGTCACTAGACCCCACCATTCCCTCAAGCTATTGTCCAACATTTTTTCCTCCATTTCTCTGCCATGCTCCTAGAAAAATACGTACACGCTCATTGCCTCCATGTCCTCTCCTCTCACTCATCAACCCTGTGCAAGCTCATCACTGAACTAAAGCTGTTTTCTCCAAAGTTACCAAAGATCTCTTAATTGCTAAATCTGATGATCTTTTTTCAGTCTTCCTTCCTGATCTCTCTACAGCATGACACTGTTGAGCATCCTCTCCCTCCTGGATAGCTTTCATCTCTGAGTTTTCATAGCAGTACTCTGTCCTAGTTCTCCTCCTACATGTCTGTCTGCTCCTCAGCTTCCTTTGCTAGGTCTTCATTAATATCACCTCCTTTATCTGTGGATATACTTCAAGGCTCTGTCCTAGGCCTTCTTTTCTCTCTTGACCCTCTTGGTGAGCTCATCAGTGCCGCCCCACCACGGGTTTAAATTTTTTGGCTAGGCAATGGGGTTAAGTGACTTGCCCAGGGTCACACAGCTAGTAAGTGTTATGTGTCTGAGGCCAGTTTTGAACTCAGGTCCTCCTGAATCCAGGGTCGGTGCCCCATCTACTGTGCCACCTCGCTGCCCCTACGGGTTTAATTTTTATCTCTGTGTAGATGGCTTCCAGACATATATTCAGCAAGCCTCTCCCCTAAGACAAAGGCTCATCACCAACTGGATATTTCAAAGTGGATGTGCCCAAGCTCAATGTGTCCCAAACAATTCATTCTCTTTTCTTTAAGACCCTCCTATCTACCAAACTTATTTTTTTGAGGCACTACTATTTTTCTATTTTTCCAGACTCAAAATCTTAGTGTTGTCCTCTCTTCCCTCATCCAGTCTGTTGCCAGATCTTGATGTTTCTACTTCCATCACACCTTTCACATTTGACCCCTTCTCTCTCTCCTCACAGGCCACCATTCCGTTTAGGTCTTTATTATCTCTCGCCTGGCCTGTTGTACTGCTCTTCTAACTGGCTTCCCTGACTTCAAGTTTCCCCTTTCTAAACTGCTGTCAAAGGAATCTTTCGAAGCACAGCTGTCGACACAGCCCTCTCCTACTCAATGAATTCCACTGGCTCCCCATTACCTCCAGGATCAAATATGAACTCTTTTGTTTGCAATGTAGAGGCCCTCACAGCCGAGCTCTGACTTATCTTTCTAGTCACTTTATGACTCTTCACGCTCTTTACATGTTTGCCAAACTGGCCTTGCCGTTACTCATACACCACAGTCCATCTCTTGTCTTCATTCCTTTGTACTGGCTGTCCCCAACACCTGGAATGAATTCCCTCCTGACATCTGCCTCTTGAATCCCTAGTGACTTTCAAAGCATGGTTCAAGGGCTACCATCAACATAAAGTCTTCACTGGTCCTCTGGCTGCTAGTGCCTCCCCACCCCCACCAATACCTTTTTTGTTTTGGGCATATATATAAATGTATGCATATATGTGTGTGTGTATACACACATGCTACATACATGTATGTTTTGAGCTTTCCTGCATGTGTTGTCTTCCCCAATTAGACTGTGAGTTCTTTGAGAGCCAGGATTATCTTCTTTTTCTACTTGTGTCACCAGAGCTTAGTAACATGCTTGGTGTATGCTAAATACAAGCTATTCATTCATCTATTCATTTGGAGTCAGAAGACCTGGGCTTAGGTTTCAGTTTCAACTTTACTAGCTGTGCATCCAAGGACAAAACAGCTAATGTCTCTGAGCCTTACTATCTTAGTCTATAAAACAGGGATAATACTACTCATGCTACTTTCCCCAACAGAGCGTTGTGAAGAAAGTGCTTTGTTTTGAGAGGCAGCATGGTAGAGGAGATAAAGAGTTGGACTGGGAGTCAGAAACGTCAAGGAGACTTACTAGCTTTGTCACTATGAGCCATTACTTTCTTCAACTGTAAAATGGAGAATCTACTATCTGTAGCATCCACTTCACAGGGTTATTCTGAGACTCCAAAGAAACAATGTATACTGCGTGGTTTGCAAACTTTAAAGATCACGGGAAGAAACTCAAGCTAATCTTGCCATGATTTTTAAAAAATGCTTCAAATCACTAATAATTAGAAAAATACAAATTAAAGTAACTTTGAGGTCCTACCTCAGACAGAACAGGAAAATGCTGAATGCTGGAAGGGGTGCAGGAAACGGGCACATTGCTACACTATTGGAGGAGCTGTGAATTGGTCCAGCCATTCTGGAAAGCACTTTGGAACTATGCTCAAAAAATCACTCAACTGTAGTTGTGCAGATGACTGTTTTCATTAAAGTTCAAGGCTTTACATTTCTCCTCCTTAGATATGGACTGTTTTCTCCTGAGACCATCACTGGGCATCCTGAATCTATGACAGTTTGTACCTGGCATTCTTTCCCAACTTCATTTTGCCTTCACAACCTGTCTTGCATAGGCTCCCTTTCATTGCCTCACATATCCACCATCTCAGTAGCCTACTACGGCAGTAGCCTTCTACTTGGTCTTCCCCGCCTCAAGTCTCTCCCCACTCAAAATCATCCTCCACTCAGCTGCCAAAGCTATTTTCCTAAAGAACACGTCTGACTGTGTCACCCACTCCCCCTCAACAAACGCCACTGGCTCCCAAATACCTTCAGGTTCAAGCGTGGAATCCTGTACCTGACATTTAAAGCCCTTTATAATCTGGCCTCCTTCTACCTTGCCTTTCTGGCCTCCTGCCTGTTCCTTGCACAAGCCCCTCGGACTTACCCCCGTGTCTGCGTTCCAGCACTGGCTGCCCCTCAAGCCCCTCCTGCCCAACACCACCTTCTTCAGGAGGCCTTGCCCAGACCTTCCCACTGGTCCTCCTTCTAGCTCCCCTTTTCTTTCAGATTCCCTTTCATTTATACCGTATATATCGTGAATATTGTTATTTGAATGTTGTCTCCCCTATTAGAATGTGAGTTACTTGAGGGCAGGGAATGTGTTTCTGCCTTTCTTTGTATCGAGGGCAACGCCTAGCACCTAGGAAAGCAATGAACGAATGTGAGAATACTGACTGCCTAACTGCAAATGGGATAATTGTGTCATCTATGTCTTCATCCAGAAGGGAGGGTGGAAGTGGGCCATGCTGACCTGGAGACCTTAGGCTCAGTCTACTCACCTTTGTTCACAGGTTTGAAAAAGAAAGGGGCTATGACAGCAATACCATCAGCTCCTATTTCTGCTGCATGCTGAGCCTTGAAAGGGAGGAAGGAATAAAACGTGTTCAGGCTGGTCATGATCATCTATTTACTGGTCATGATCATCTATTTACTTATATTGTAAAAATTGTATTCACGTACACTAGTGTTCTTAAATGAAAAGATTTAAGGGGGTCCGTGAATTTGGGTGGGAAAAATTTTACATTTCAATTTTTGGTAAACTTTTATTTCCTTTGTAGTGCTATGTATTTTATTTTATGCACTTAAAAGCATTATTCTGAGAAAGGATCCATGACACATGAAACCTGCTTTAACAGGTACTACCAACAAAAATCCTAAAACCCTCAAACAATGATTTGCCAATGAAAACTACTGGTTGCACTGAGTGTTTTATGGTGGTCTCATCTTCTGAAGGCTTTTCTTTAGTTCCTTGATGGAAGAGACTCTTTTTCTGTCTTTATAGGCTCAGTTGCCCAGTGCCGTGTCGTCTTCATGGCAGATACAGAGAGAAGCCAGAGAAAGAGACATGGCTGTGGGGAGGTCCAGGGCTCATTGGGAGAATCAGTACCCTTTCAGATTTCTCTGGCCAGTGTAACCGCTGATGTTCTGCAGAGAACAGGGGCTGCTGTTGTTTATCCTTTGTTCTTGAAGAGGACTATGACATCAGGAAGGTGATATCATGACATGCAAGTGAATTGGATTTAAGTGAGGGTTGTGCAAAGCCACCAGCCTCACTTTCTCCTCCGGAACCATCTGGGTCCAGTGGCCAGATATAGATCAGGACGACTGGAGACGGCCCCAGATGCATTGGGCGACCTTGGCCTTTACAAGCTAAGGTCTTTAACACTGATGTTCCGCAGAGAATGGGTGGTGGAGCAAGGCTAGAAGTTTCCATCTAGGTGGGGCAGTGTGGATAGAGCACTGGGCCTGGAGTTAGGAAGATCTGAATTCAAATGCAGCTGAAGCACTTTCCGGTGGTGTGACCCTGGGCAAGTCTCTTAATCACTGTCTTCCTCAGTTTCCTTTTGCATAGGCACAATAATAGCAGCTACCTCCTAGGGTTCTCGTAAGGACCAAATGAGATAATAATTGCAAAGCCCTTAGCACAGTGCCTGGCACATGGTAAGTGGCTACATAAATGTTAGTTGTAATTATCATTGTTGTTTACTATTATTATAGTCTCTCGACTCCTTTTCTAGTTGAAGGAGTATCGATCTGAGGAAATTTACCTCCACAGGGGCATAAAATAAGACCTGAAAACTCAAATGGCTTTCGGACTATGAAGTGCCACTTGAAATGAGAGATCCCAAGGAGACAGGAGAGTTGGATTCTCAGAGGAATTCTGAAGGAAAGAAGCCGTTAACAGCCAAGTGAAGACCTGATTCATTCTAGGCCTCTGTGGCTGGTAGGGCAGCCTGGCCGAGGGATCTCAGCCCAACTTCTTCAAATGGAAAGAAGATGGAGAGACCCTGTGAACAAGGAGACCATTTTATGTATTGCCCCTATTTTAGGCCTCAGCCAAAAAACAAACCCCAGCTTCTCTTGGAGGCCTTTCCTGATCCTCCTGAACTCTCCTGCCTTCCTTCTGTGGATCATTTCCCCTTCTTTCTGTCTACAGTGTGTTTATACAGAGTTGTTTTCATGTTCTCTCCCCCATTAGACTGTGAGCTCCCATGTCTTTTGCCTTTCTTTGTCTCCCTAGCACTTAGTATAGTACCAAGCCCATGGTGAGGCTTAATAAATGTTTAATGACTGCTCAACAGCTCAGACACCTCAGAGCTGACCTCTCTCCAGGGGCTTGATAACTAGAGGGGTCAGATTTGGGAGTGCCATGTGAAAAAGCTATGGACATCCACCAGGCATTAATCAGAACCGGGCATCTGCACAGGAGCCGTACGATTCTGAGATTCACCCCTGTTATTTACTGGAGCTGGAATCTTTAGTACGCATGGGGACCTGATCTTATGTAAATTTTAAATTACATGGAGGACAAGGGGTAAAAATACACACAAGCAAATTCAGAGATGCAGTGAAAGTTCCTCTTTCCTCATTTGCCCATCAGGAGACATACTCTTGTGATGTCTTTTTTCTTTTGACTTCTAATAGAGGCACAAGAGAACCATACAGCTGGCTGTGGAGCCTGAGATCCTGAGTTCAAATCCTACCTCTGATGCTTATTTGTGTGGCTTTGGGCAAGTCAGCGCTCCTTGCCTCAGTTTCCTCATCTGTAAAAAGGGGTTGGACTTGAGGGCTTCCAAGGTTGCTTCTAGCTCTTGATTTATGACCTTGTGAAACTTAGGGGTCAATGAGACTAATCATCTTGTTTTATGGATGAGAAAACTGAGTTATAGACAAGTTACCTGCAGTCACAGATTAAAAAAAGTAGAGGATTTGGGATTTGAACTCATGTCTGCTGACCCCAAAGCCAATGCTTCTCCCTTCCGCCTGCTGATGTCTCCAAGATGTATGCCCTGAGTTTGAATCTTTGCTGTGTCATTTTGGCCAAGTTACTTAACTTCTTCTGGCCCCAGATTCCTCATCCGTAAAATGAGGATAATAATAGTAGCAACCTCCCAGGGTTACTGGGAGGGTCAAGAGAGATAATTGTAAAGTGCTTTGTAAACCTTAAAGTACAATCTAGATGCTTGCTATTACCATTATTGTTAATATTATTCCATTGACCAAGATTACTCTTTTGTTGTTGTTGTCGATTTTGTTTTTTTGGCTAGGCAATGGGGTCAAGTGGCTTGCCCAAGGTCACACAGTAAGTGTCAAGTGTCTGAAGCCAGATTTGAACTCAGGCCCTCCTGACTCCAGGGCTGGTGCTCAAAATTACTCTTGATGTTCATTTTAACCAGATTTCCCCCAAATAAAAAGGTGGGAGCAAGCCCACGCATGGTGAGTTGCCCCAGATCTCTGTGCACCTTATATACATACCAGCTCTTGTGAGTCTTTCAGGCTTAATGCTCCCACATGAATGATCACATGGTCCATTCTGCATAATGAAGATTAAGTGAGATCAAAGTTTAGCAGTTACTCAGAGGGATATGGTACCTCCATGGCTACAATAAAATCACATCAATCTCTATGGCATATATGACTATAGAGATTACTGTTTCCCTTGAATCCACTAGGAGCAGAAAGCAAAGAAGGTTTTAAAGAGTTACATCCATGTTCACCAGCGTAGTGGGAGGTGTCTAAACACAAGAAAGATGGGAAGGGCCTCCAGATGCTCCAAAAGGCAGACACTTCCTTGCCCCATTTGCACTGAGCCCCAGAGGCCTACCCCTTCCTTAGTGAAATCTACAGAAATGTAAGAGAGTATTTGTTGTTAAACCGGCTACACTTAAAAAATCAAGTGGATGAAAGCTACCAGAGGCATGGGTGGAGTTGTTAGCCTGGGCCTCTAATCAACAGGGAGGAGTTTTCAAGAATGAGGTCTACTCCAGGAGATATCAAGTGAGATGATCAGAACTAGAAGGGACTCTCAGTTATCAATCTGGTCCAGCCCCCTCCTTTTACTCATAAGAAAACTGAGAAGTAACCTAGTAACTAATAAGAAAACCTAGAGAAGTAAATCCACTTGCCCAAAGTCATATAGGTAGTGACTATCAGGGCAGGTGCTCTAACTCCAAGTCCAATTCTCCTTTATACCAAGAGAGAAGGAATGAGATGAACATATATTATCATATACATAAATGCTTGGTAATCCAGGATAAAAACAAGAACGACAGTTCAAAATACAGGATGTACTGTGAGAATTGCTTTTGATAAGCAGCTGCATCTTCTTCCATTAGGTAATATGTCATCCTAAACATGGCTTGTAAAGGAAGGGCTTATGATGTACCACAGCACTGAATTCCTGGCTTTCTAGTTAAAACCAATGGTAATATCATCCATTAGATTGCTTATGCCCATGTAGCAGGAGATATAATGGTCTCTGTCACTAATATTCATCAGTAATCCAAAGATGACAAATTATGCTGCGAATTATTCTACTGGCCTGCTGCTGGCCCAGAGTAGGGAGTATTTCCTTTTTTGTAATTGTTTCTCCAGCAACCTGCACAACCTCTGGCATGTTGAAGGCACGTAATAGATAATGCTGATTAACAAGATCTACGAAGGTCAGTTGGAAGCGACTAGAGATTGGTAAAGCTATCACCAGTCACCACGGTGCCTTTCAAGAAGACGTCGGACCTGGATGAAAGCCAGAAATATCCCTAAAAATAAAGACTTAGATCCTTTTATGGATCTGTGAGTAGTGGCCTGTCTGTTTCTTAGAGTACCAAACACTGGATATGACTGGTGTGGAATCAAATACCTCTCTGTTCCCTCCTTGAGAAATACTGAAAGCATTTAAAAATACCCTTGTCTGAAGTCTTATTACCACCCTGAAAGAGAAACCCTTATTGGTCTTTGTAACTATCAATTCTGAAACAGTATCCTGTTCCACTCTCCCCAGATTAGCCCAGGAAGAACTCCTTCCTTCAGTAATTAGGGTGGTGGCTGGTCAAGACCAGGGGCCTTAGTTGGATCTACCTAGGAGAAGGAAGAGGTCTCTTTGATTACTTCAGGAAATATATCTCATGTATTCATCTTTGACCTACTGGACAGGAGAGCCATTGAAGAAAGTGATGAAAGAGGGATTGATGGTGATACGAAATGATTTTTTAAGGGTAAGCTTAGAGTTAAGTGACTACTGTTCTGTCAGATTGAAGCAAACTGTTAAGAAAACCTTAACTCTACACCCTTGCTCAATCTTGACTATGAAATATTCGTTGTTATTCAAGAACCCTATAAATCAGGACTTCAAGATGATTAATGTTAGAGAGATGCCTAAGGGCATGAAGACTCTGTTTGGACATTTCTGTAAGCAGAAAAATGCTTAGCGTTAGAATAAGTTAAAATGAATAGAAATTGGTTCTGGTGGCCTTGTGACTACAAGGCAAAGTACAGTTTTTCTTCCATACCAGGAAAGCAAGGAATTCAGTGCTGAGATGCATTGTAAGACCATCATGGCCAAGAATGTTGCAGATAATGTATGTTAACTAATGATGATCCTTATAAAAATAAAATTCCTATGGCACATAAAGTTTAATTACTGACATGAGGAGATATTTGAGAAAGTTCATACTGGCATATGGAATAATCCAATGAGAAAATTTAGTCTATGAAAAGAAACTCAAGATAGAAGTTAAAAGAAAAGGTAGAACTGTCCCCAAATGCCCCTTGCCAGAAAATCACATCCATCATAAGAAAACCAGCTTCCTCATGGACCAGAACATACAGATGATGGTTACACTATTATAATTTGGAATCTTCTACAAAATTTTGCACCCTAGTGACTAGAATGAAAGTAGTGAGAAACAGGAAAATCAAGGAAAGTCTAAGGATGCCACATCAGATGGCTTTAATATTCTCCTTAAGAAGTTAAGGTCAACTTCTGAGAATGGGGTAGGGGGCTGGAATTGAGGGGAAAAAATGATAGCTAGCATTTGTATAGTGCTTTATAATATTACCTGATTTGGTCTTCACAGCAACTCTGTGACATAGGTGCTATTATTATCTCCATTTTACAGATGAAGAAACTAAGACACAGCTATTTGTCTGAGGCCATATTTGAACTTGGGTCCTCCTGAATCCAAGTTCAGCACTCAATCCCTTGTGCCACCAGTTGCTTCTATAAAAAGGTCAAAGGAGCAAGAGATTCTAGGGTTTTAGCAAGAGCACATTTGAAATGAGTGACCATGGAGTTCAAGGTGGGTATATAAGCAAAGGAAACCAGGAATTACTGAATCAAATGATAAAGTAGAGAAAGCTCAAAGGGTGAAGAGGGGGAGGGGGTGTTTTAGAGGATGGAAGAAGAATGAAGACCAAGATTTGTGGGAGGGGGATTAGAATGAATTAGACTTGAATGCAAAGGCAAAAAGGATACAAGGTGGTCATCAGAGAGGTAATGTCAGATTTTGCGATCTTGGAGGTGGGGCAGTTCTGAGCAATGATAGGGCCTCCATTCCTGATCAGGGCTCAATGAACCAGAAATAATCAATAAATCAGTTCTGAATGGAACACCAGAAGATATCAGCTGAGCCTCAAGAATTATAAGTTGTGAAGCTGAAAAGGCTGAGAATCCAGGAGAAGAAAACAGCCACCAAGGTATTCCAGAGGCTTTGGCTGCTTAGTAATTAGGATGAAAATAGAGAGGAAGCCCTGCCAAGGGCAGGGGCCTCCAAATGCAGCTGTAGAGGGAGGAGCACTGATAAAGCCAGAGAGCAGCAGCCCTGGGAAGCTCCTTGTCTGACCCGTAATCCTATCTTGTTTCCCCTTCCTGCCCATGGCTGTGTTGCAGGCAAGCTAGCCTGCTTGCTGCTGCTCAAACCAGGCAATCCGTCCATCCGTCCATCTGTCCAGTGACTGGGGTGCACTTCTTTGAACCCTTAAGAGACCCTGTTCTTCCCTGTAAGGGTCACCTCTTGTCTTGATGTGCCCAGATGCTAGTGCCTTCCCCACCCTGATGTGGCTTTTCATACATGCTATTTCCCCACAAAGACTATAAGCTCCTTGAGGTCAGGGGACTGGTTCCATTTTCGTCTCTGCAACTCTGTGCCTAGCCCAGAGCCTGGTACACACTCCATGCTTACTAAATACTTGTTGAAGGAAAATGCAAGGTTTTCCTCATAAACGCAGGAAAACCAGGATGGTTTCAAAAGTATAAATAAATAGGACAATAGGCGGTTTTTAGGGGTATAATGTATTAATTACTTAATGAATTATCAATTAATAAGTTTGTTGAGGACCTGATATTTTTAAGTCATTTCACCAGGCACTATAATTGATAGTGACACGTATAAGACTATGTACAATGACAAATACAATTAGGGGAATATTTTTGTACTTGGGAGAAAAAAAAAAATAAATAGGTTCTCCCAGAGGCACAACCAGGGACCAGGTATAAGCGAGGCAGTTTCAGAATTATTTCCTAGCCTGTAGGTCAGTACAGCAGAGGCAACTACGCCTTCTCCCCGGTGATAGCCAATGCTTGTTCTTGGAGATGCTACTACCTGTGAAGAAAGGCTGAACTACCCAAGGTTCAAAATCGGGAAGAGAACACAGTCTATGTACTATAGGTCAGTGAGCCTGACTTAGATTCCTGGGGAAACTCCTCATGAGGCACAATCCCAGGGCTTTCAGTTGTCATCAGTCTTAAAGGTCTTACCTAGAGAATGTGGCACTAGTAGGATAACAGTCTGCCTGGATCTTCAAAACCCCTTCAGCATGAATTTTTAGTATTTCAAAATATCTTTACCAGTTTAAGGTTATATTTCTGTTATTTTACTGGGCTTTCAACATATTGTTTCACCTTCTGAATAATTATACTCGGTCACTCTCAACTTGGCAGGAGGTCTCCAGGGATCTGTGATTGTCCCTGTGCCGACTAACATTTTTGATCAAAGGTTTGGATAAAAGTATTGATGGCATGCTCATCAAGTTTGCAGGTGATGGAAGGCTAGGAAGGAGATAGTCATCTATCTAGATATAGATGAATGGATGGCTATCTCCTTCCTAGCCTGGCCAATCACCTGGATGAAGGCACAGTCAATTGACAGCTGACAGTCAATAAACATGTATTAAGTGTCTACTATGTGCTAGGCACTGTGCTAATTATATCTATCTATCTAGATACACACATATGTGTGTATGTATGTGTATATATCTTTCCTAGCCATCTACTCCCTGTGTATGTGTGTATATAAACACACATATAAATATATATACATGTACATACACACTTATATACATACATACATAAACACACATATACATACATATATACATACACACACACATGGTCCTAGGGGTAGATGGCAAGTTCTCAAATGGCACATTCTGTTTTCTTCCTGACCAGGCACACTGATTCATTAAACATTTAGCATGCCCTGTGCCAGGCAAAATGGGGCCATAGCTCTTCTTCAGGATGAACTTGGAGTTGGAGGG